GAAGGAAGCCAAGGGACAGGTGAGTGGTGGCTTTGGGGCTGGAGTATGGTTCTGGTGGGCAGGGACCCAGCCAGGCTGCAGGTATGTGTGTAGTGGGGGGTGGGGTGCAACGTAGGAGCTGGATTGTACATGAGGCACCTGAGGAGAGGGGCCTGGCAAAGACCAAGTAGGAGCTCAAGGCTCGATCTAGGTAGACCGAGTTTAGGTCAGAACTAATAATGGAGGACTCAGGTGCTGTCTGATAGAAACATAGTGTGAGCCATAAGTATAATTTTTAAAAACTTTAAATTTAGAAGTCATTATAGATTCATAGAAAGTTGAAAGGGTAGTACAGAGGTTCCATGTACCTTTCCCAGTTTCGCCCAATGGGTACATCTAATGTAACGATAGTAAAATAGCAAAACCAGGAGACTGACAGTGGCACAGGGAATATGCATACGACTTTGTCAGTTTGTCACATGTGTGCATTTATGTAACGACCACTGCAATCAGGATACACACCTGGTCCATCGCCACAAAGATCTCCCTCGTGCTACTCCTTTATAGTCACCCCGCTTCTCTTCCTCTCCTTATCCCTTACTCTTGGCAACCACAAATCTGTTTTCCATCTCTCTTTTTTAAAGATTTTATTTATTTATTTGAGAGAGAGAGAAATCACGAGCGGGGGGAGGGGTAGAGGGAGAAGCAGGCTCCCCACTGAGCAGGGAGCCCAATTCGGGGCTCCATCCCCAGACCCTGGGATCACGAACCGAGCCGAAGTCAGATGCTTAACCTACTGAGCCACCCAGGTGCCCTGTTTTTGATCTCTTTAATGTCATTCCAAGAACCTGATATAATAGAATCATCTGGTATGTCATCTTTTTTTTTCTTTTAGAGAGAGAGAGTGAGAGAGAGCACATGCATACACATGAGCAGTGGGGAGAGGGGCAGAGGGAGAGGGAGAGAGAGAAAATCTTAAGCAGGCTCCACACTTAGGGCTGAGCCTTGTGCGGGGCTCAATCTCATGACCCTAAGATCATGACCTGAGCTGAAATCAAGAGTGGGACACTCAACTGACTGAGCCACCCAGGAGCCTCTGGTGTGTCATCCTCTGAGATGAGCTTTTTTTTTTTTTTTTCCACTCAGCATAATGGCCTTGAGATCCATCCAAATTGTTATATGTATGAATAGCCCATTCCTTTTTATTGCTGAGTAGTGTTCCATGGTGCGGAGGTGCTCTGGTACGTGGAATGGTGTTCATCATTCACCTATGCAGGGCATTTGGGTCATTTCCAGTTGTTGATTATTACCAAAAAAGAAAAGCTATGAACAACTGTGTACAGGTTTTTGTGAGGACACAAGTTTTCATTTCTCTGGGATGAATGCCCAGGAGTGTGACTGCTCAATTGTATGATTGGTGTATGTGTAGACTTTTTTTTTTTTTTTTAAGAAGTGTCCTGTTTCCAGAGTGTACCATTTTACATCCTACCAGCAATGTCTGGGAGATCCACTTGCTCTGCATCATTGTCAGCATTTGGTATTGTCACGATTTTTATTTTCTCTGTTCTAACAGTATGTAGTAGTAAGTAGCTCACCTTACTACATGGCCTCACTTTGCATTTCCCCAATGGCTAGTGATGTGGAACATTTCTAATACACTTGTTTGCCATTCTTATATCTTCTTTAGTAAGATGTTTCTTTTTGTCTTTTGCTGACTTTTTAATTGGCTTATTAAATCTTTGACTCATTGTCAATCTTCAGGGAAAAGCATTCAGTCTTTCCCCATTAAGTGTGAGGTTAGCTGTGGGATTTTTGTAGATGTTCTTTATCAAGTTCAGGGAATTTCCTTCTATCCTTAGTTTTCTGACAGTTTCTTTTTTTTTCCCATCATGAATGAATTTTGTCAGGTGTTTTTTCTGCATCAGTTAACATAGTTGTGTGATTTTTCTACTTTTGGCCTGGTAATGTGGTGGATTACAATGATTGACTTTCAAATATTGAACTAGCCTTGCATCCTTGAAATAAACTTCACTTGGTTGTGGTATATAATTATTTTATTATATCGCTGAATTCTCTTTGCTAATAATTTTTAAGGATTTTTGTGGTTATATTCATGCGGGATATTGGTCTTTAGTTCTCTTGATTGGGACTGTCTTTGATTTTGGTGTCGGGGTAATACTGATCTCATAAATGAGTTTGGAAGTGTTCCTTCTTTTCCCTATTTTTTGGAAGATATTGTGTAGAATTAATGTTAATTTTCCTTTCTATGATTGGTAGAATTCTCTAGTGAAACCATCTGGGCTGGTGTATATCTTTTTGGGGATTTTTAAAATTACTAGTTCAATTTCCTTAATAGTGATAAGGCTTTTCAAATGATCTACTTCATATTGGGGAGCTTACAGTAGTTTGCGCTTTTCAAGGAACATGTCCATTTCATCTAATTTGTCAAGTACATGTGTATAATCTGCAGGATTTCCTTATCATCTTTTGATAGCTGCAAGATCTGTTTTCTGTAACCTTTGCCAAGTCTGGATATTTGCCAATGTGAGAGGTGAAAAATGAGTCTTGTGGATTTAGTTTCCATATTTTTTATATTAAGTAGGTGGATCATTTTTCTGTTTTTGTTTGTGTCCTTTTTTCCTTTTTACTTATCTTTTTCATAATTTGTAAGTGTTCTTTATAGATTATGAACGCTCACCCTCTTCTTGTCATATATATTATAGTCTTCCCAGTTTGTATTTTTCCTCCTTTTTTTTCAGTTTCTTTTGCTTTGCTACATGCTTTTAATTTTCACATAATTAAGTCAATCAATATTTTCCATTAATGCCTCTGGGATTTCATGCTGTCTCCATCAGTAATCAATTGCAAGAGATAGAACCCAAATCAAACTAGCTTAAGCAAGAAAAAAAAAAAAAAGAAGAAGGAAGGAAAGGAAAAATGGATGGATGGATGGAGGAATGGCTGGATGGAAGGATGGATGGATGGATGGAAAGTAGGAAGGAAAGAAGGAAGCAAGCAAACAAAGAAAGAATGTTGGCTTATGTAATTGGGCACTGCAGAGGTCGATGTCTCTGCATGGCTGGATTGAGGCTCTCAACAATATATCATCAGGGTTCTGTCTGTCTTCTCTCACTTTCAGCTTTGTCTGTATCATGTGGGATATCATTTTGTAAAGCAGCTAGGCTCTGGGTGATGATAAGAAGGCTACTGGCAGTCCCAAGCTTACATTCCAAAACTAAAAGCTCTCAGAATCTGTATATCATATCCCGTGGAAGGACTCAGAATGATCCTGTTTAGGTTATGTGCCCTCCTTCTCCATGCCTTGAACTGGTCCATAAAGATGAGGGATATGTCATGATTGGTCATTTGCCCAATTCTGTAGCAGGTGAGCAGGTGAGGTATTCTGTGCAGCAACAGCTCCCTAGAAGAATGATGGTAGAAAGCAGGAGCCAAAGGAGTCCTTTAAACATGTCACTCTTAGAAAGACCTTCCCTAGCATAAGATGATACAAGAAAAAAATAGGCTGTTTTTTCCTAATATGTATGTTTCACTATTTTACATCTAAATTTTTGACCCATGTGAGAAAGTGAGGGAGACAGAGACAGAAGGCCAGGGGCCGGGAGAGGAGAGATTATGGGGTGATGTAAGCATCTTTTGCTGGAGGCTCTTATACCAGAAGAGAACATGACCTTGGAACTTCTTTGGTCACCCGTTTCACAGCTCCATCACTTTCCTTCTCTGTTCCTTGAGTTTATTTTGAGTTAACACGAATCCTGTAAGATTGGGTTGGTGGGAAGGGCAAGGGCTTCATCTAGCAGAGGGCTTTTCGCAGTGGGCATTAACACATATCTGATTCAACGTGTCTGAACCCAGGGTTCATGACTCCAGGGGACATCTGGGCATCCAGATATTATATGACAGTGGGAGGAATAGAGCGGGATCTGGGAGCACCACAGGTATCCCAAACTACTTGAAAATGAGGGTAAAGGTAAACCTTGAGTTCCCTCCCAGAGCCCGGACTGGGGTGCAGCGAGGCAGAGTGAGCCTCGGGGAGGAGATGAAGGACAGAGGCAGACAGGGGATCGGCCCCCTTACCACCTCCTCTGTGCATACTCAGGTCACGTGTGAGGGACCCAGCCGCAGACACCTGCTCTCCTAAAATATGTTCCCAAGAATTAAGTAAAAGCTTCTTTATTTTATCTTTTTAACATTAGAAGAATCTTTTACAAATGATTCTCTTATGTTGCAAACGAATTATCTCAAGTTCAACAGTTCTGTTTCACCTCTGTTTCTTTTTCTTCACTGAACTCACAGAAAAAAAAAATTAAGCATTTTAATTTTAAAAGCATGTACACTATGATCCCATTTGTCTGAAATTATTTCATTGACGATGGTCCCATCTGTTGATCCCTCCCTTTCTTTGTATGTCAACTGTCAAGAACGGTTATTTCTAGATTGCATTGGTTTTTGTTTTGTTTTGTTTTGTTTTTTGCTTTCATCTTTTAAAAATAATAAGCTACCATTTTTATAAAAGCAGTAGACTTATTCCTTTTAAAGAATAAAGTCTGTGATGAGAAGCATCCACCTTCTGCTACTTACAGTTGGGTATATTTTCCTCAGTATCCAAGTGAATGTTGTCTTTTGGCAATTATTAGTTGTCAATTTGTGGTGAAGTCAACCCAGAGCCGCAGAGGACCTCGGCCAGAAAGGGGAGGGATGAGAGAAGACACCCAAAGAGGAGAAAAGAGAAGAGACATAAATGAGGCCAGGGGATGGCCTGTGGCTTTGGGGCGGAGGGGCCTCCCCTTGTCTATGACAGAAGACTGCTGCTTGTCACCACCTCGGCTCCGTCACCTCTTTGTCCTCGGACACCTTGCATATGCCTGGTGTTAGGCTGCTTTCGTATCCCTCCCCGGGCCGCAATCAGCCTTGTGCATCCAGCAGGCGCTCGATAAACGCTTAATGGATGCTCATTTCCCAAGGGGGTCATTCTCCCTAAATGGCACCTCTTTGTCTTTCAGGCTCACAGGCTTTCAGCTACCAGCTACTATCGTCAGCGCGGCCACCACCCTCTCTCTACGCCTCGTCAGTGACTATGCGGTCAGCGCACAGGGCTTCCACGCCAGCTATGAAGGTAGGTGCCTCCCGGCCTGGCTACAGGGGCCTGGCATGTGAGGTCAGAAGGGCTGTGGGCAGGGCCGTGTGGCTCTCAGCTGCAGGGGAGGGGTGCTCCTGATTCAGAGCTTCCTCCTGTCCTAACAAGGCTACCTACTAACCAGTAATTCGGTTACCTAAATTGTCCATGCCATGTTCCCAGGAAACTGAAAATTGAAATCACAGCTCAGCTGCAGTCATTTATCCTGAGGGTCTGGTAACATCCTACTTGTCTGTCCCCTAAATGTGTTTGGTTGTGTTTTTATTTTTTTAATTCCGTTTTCTATCGGGCTTAATTGTATAAGGTATCTCTGCTTGGTTTCGGAAATAAGAAAGACAGAAAGTCTAAGTAAAAGAAATACAGTAAGTAGCTGAAAAAACACTTCTGCTCAATCTTGTCACTGCCGAGAGTCAGTGTTAGATCATTCAGAGAAGAAAAATCCGTTTTTCCTCAATGGCACAGATTAGGGTTTCTTGGTTTGAGTTATGCAAATAATTTCCACTTCTCTCAGCTTGTTTAAATTTGGTGTTGGCATTCAAATTAACACTAATATCTTCAGATTATACACTATTATTATTATTAACTTTATTATATTAGTTCAGAAGGTGGTACTTCTAGATCTCTGCCATTTCCCTGGGAAATTTACATCTCATTAATAGGTAATTGTGCTGCTCTTGGCTAAGACCCACACTGCTATTTTGTGTTGAGATCATTAATAGGCATATTTTAAGACCATTAACGATAATTAATAACAGTAATGACATAACACCCTAGTAAAGCATGCCAGTTATTTGAAAGCTTTCTTATCTCCAAGAACTTAAAGAATAAGTGATGCTTTTTCAAATGGAGCTATAACAACATAGAAACAGATACTGCCTTTGTCCTGACTAGGAATAGACTATGGAAACAGGGCAAGTCCTACTTCTTTGGGAAAATCCACCCGTGGTAGCCGGGGTGTGGGGCACAGAGTTTGATGCTTTAACCTGAGCGTTTGAGGACTCCTGAGAAAGGTCTCAGTTATTTTTAACTAAAGGTTCCTGAGAAGGCTCCAGAGAAAATTCTGCATGCCTTTAACTGATAGTTTCTGACATAATTCCAGATCACTTTAACTGAGGGCTCCTGACATAACCATAGTCACCTTTAGCTGAGGGCTCCTGACAAAGCCCTAATGGTCTCTAAAGGTCTCTTGAGGTAGCCCAATTTCTTTAGAAAAAAATGATCAGTTCCTCCCAGTATCAAGTCTGTGATCTTGGTCATTCTAGCTACATCTTCACCCCAAACCTTTGTCCCTGAACCCAAAGTAATTCTCTCCAAGTTTGAGTTACAACCTCCTTACCAAGAGATGCCTCTTCAGAAATCCCTTACAGCATCTCTGGTCACAAGTTCCTTCTACAGCATGTTGGCCTTGGGGAGACTGGATGTGTTTGGGGATGGTGGTGGCAATGAGTCAGGGACACCAGAGTTGGTGTCTGCAAAGATGCTGGGAGGGGCTGACGCAGGGGGCCCTGGCTGGACCCTCACGATGTCCTCAGTCCGCCGTCCTTTTAGATGCTTGTCTGAGGCCTGGGCTTTCATGAGTGTCCTATTGATCTCTGCCCATAATGCCCCCTCTGGGAAACAATGCCAAGCACTTTTCCACCAGGCAGAGCAGATCTGAGATTATAGTCACTGATATCGTTTAAATCAGAGGTGGTATGTAGCCTGGGAATCATGGGCGGGGCTTATAGTTGGACATCAAAGGTCTATAAACCCCTTGAAATTAGGGGCAAAATTCTGATATTTTAAAAAAAATTTTTTTTTTTTTTTGAGAGAGAGAACAAGTGCTAGCAGGGGGTGGGTGGGCAGGCGAAGAGGGAGAGGGAGAGAGAGAATCTTAAGCAGGCTCCACGCTGAGCGCAGAGCCTGACACGGGGCTTGATCTCACAACCCTGAGATCATGACCTGAGCCGGAATCAAGAGTCAGATGCTTAACTAACTGAGCGCCATTCTGAATGTATATGGATGTGCGTGTGTATGGGTGTGTTTTCTTTTTTTAAGGAAGGATCTAGAACAGAGATCAACAAACTCTGGCACGCTGGCTAAATCCAGTCCATGTTTGTTTTTGTAAATAAAGTTTTATTAGCATGCAGCTAAGCCTATTTGTGGCCGTGTTGTCTCTGACTGTCGGCCTGCACTACAACTTGAGTCTCGCTACTGCCACAGAGACCACGTGGCCTGCAAACCCTAAAATCTTTATCATCCTTTACAGAGAAAGCTGGTTGACCCTTTGTCTAGAGCTGTGCTGTCCAGTGTGGTCGCCATTAGCCACGCGGAAATATTTATATTTACATTACTCAAAATGAAATAACACTTAAAATTCAGTTTCTCAGTCCCATTAGCTTCCTATCGAGTGTTCAGGAGCCACATGTGGCCACCATATTGGACATCACGGGTAGAGAGCATCACAGGTAGCAGGGCATGCTACTGGACGAGCTGAGCCAGAGCTTCCATCAGCTTCACAAAGGGTCTGCGATTCAAAAGAGGTCGTAAAATAGTACGGTAGAGTAGAGGCTGATGGGTCCCTCCTTCCACCTGCCTGGCACAGAGGAGGGAGCCCAGACGCGAGGGGGCTCAGCATTCTGCTGCAGGACCAACGGGCCAGAGGAAGGGCCTGCCCTACCCCAGCCACGGAACAGTGTCACTGGTGGTAAGAGGACAAAGCCTTGCGGGCAAAAGGCCCACCCACGCAAACCCCGGACCCGTGCGCACAGGTTGCTGCAGCTGAGTCCCCGTGTGGTCGCCTGGGCAGGGTTTCTTCCAGCTCCGGTCTGTGTGGCTGCTGTCTTTGTGTGGCCTGGCAGAGTGGCTCAGAGACGGGTGTGCTAACGAGGGAGCCAAGCACAGAGAAGCCGAGATCCCATGGATCTGGCCTGGGACTGGCCCCTGGGGCGACCTGCGCATCCGGAAAAGTATGAATTGCACTGACTTCTGGAATACCCCAAGTGGAGGGGTGGGGGGCGGGTGGTGGGGAAGGTGGGAGGAACCAGTAGGGGCAGCCGCCACTGGGAATAAACCACGTGCTACCTGCATTCGCCTGACTGTCACTGGGCTTATCAACAAGACACCAGATAATCCCATCTTTGCGGATTTACTGATAAACACTAGCTTCTTAGGCTTGTAACTGACTAACTGACCTTGGGCAGAATTTTTGGAACTACCTGGGCCTCATTGAAGGGGGCGGATCTAGTAGTCAGAACGACTCTGAAGATTTTGGCTTTCCGGGGAAGAGGTCAGCTCCATTGCAGAGTGCACCTTAGACAATTGTGCTGGACAAGTCCTAGACAGACAGGGTCCAGAAGAGGAGCCCCCCTGCCACGAGGCTGGGCTGCCCCCTGCCACGACGGCCCCCTTGCGTTCTCTAGTCAGGATGTTGCCGCATCCATTTAGAAAACATCTGGGTCCTGCTCTCGGTAGCTCCCCTTGGCCAACGTCCCTGAGAGTCCACTATCAAAGGGAGTTTGTCTCCTCCACTGCATCAGGAGCGTGGAAAGTGCCGATAAGGGGCTGAGCTCCTGCGGAGACTTTGGAGAGAGGTGAAGTCAGGTGAAGAATGTCAGCCCACGGCGGCTGGCCCTTCAAGGCAAAGATCAAAAAGGCCAGTCGTCTAACCCTGAAGACGACAGGATGCTTGATTTGTAATCCCCGGGGACAAGAGCGTGGGCTGCGGCCTCGGACCAGAGGGAAAGGGATCAACTTGTATTAAGCGCTGACTGTATGCCAGGCGCTTTACATACATTTTCTCACTTAATCCCCATGGCAGCCCCGCGGACAGACATCGCTATCTCCATCTTACAGATGTACGGGCTGTGTGCTCCTCAAGAGTTTTGTGTTCAGCTTCAGGCTACTTGATGGCCAGGAGTTTTTCAGTGGCTTCACTAAAGACTGCGCTCCCTGCAAAATTCCTGGAGTAGGGCAGAAATGGGTGACTCCACAAACAGAGAAAGACATGTATCATATGATCTCACTGATATGAGGAATTCTTAATCGCAGGAAACAAACTGAGTGTTGTTGGAGTGGGGGGTGG